ATATTATTAAGATCTAATAAGATGCTATAGGCATCAAAAAGTGGTTAAATTGATTCTCAATTTAACTAAAGTGATATTACTGCGGTAGTGAATATGTATGCGTCAATGCTGAAAATCCATCAGCGTCGCGGGGGGACTACATACGCAGTATATAAATTTCACACAATATAATAAACATTAACATCTTGTTTTCAAGACTCGATTAGGCTTTACACATTACACTTTCCTCGATTTTTAAATCATACGAGTCGATTTCATTATTATTTCATACGGAACAATATTACATACACGTTTAAATATACCGATATATATGTAATTTCTATTACAAAAGTAATATTTATTAAAACAAAATTTTTTTCAAGTGGAATTTAATATATAAGAATTTAATATAGATAAGAATAAATTAAATAAGAGGGAGAATCCTTTTTTGGTCGAAATGAATCATTATGATGATGTCTCATAATACTTGTGTTCGTACATCACACAGTTTGTCCTGTAATGTTAATATTTGCAAATCACAATTGATTTTTTGTAAATACATTATTTAGTTTAATCAGGAGTGGGCATGTATTTAAAATATTTATTTGAAAACAGTATTATTAGGATAATTGTGTATCATGTATTTTCAACGGAGAGTACATGAAAATATTCTGCATTTTATATTTTATGGAAGTATATATAAATAAAAATATTTTATATTTTGTGTGTGTATTTCAGTATTAATAATAAAAAAATTGAATGTGTTTTGTATTTTGTATTTTAAATACTAAGATTGATGATTAATGTTATTATTTAAATTATGAAATACATAAACATTTCGATCTTCTAATTTTAAATACATAATGCGTAATACTTTCATGTACACGGCTGAAATATAAAATATAATATAAAATCTACTTTTATTGCGAAAACTGTGTTTTAGATAAAAGTATTTTAAATACATCCCCAGCCCTGAAATTAATTTTAAATTATACGCCGATACGATTTGTCAGACTTGAAGTACCATCATGAACCTGGAAATAACATTATACATTACAATAATTGATAATATAATAATGATGATGAAAATGAACTTAATAACACTCCAAACAACTGATAATTGTAAGTTTTTAAAATAATAGCTGTATTATTACCATTTGAAATGTTTTTTCTTAGCTTTCTATTAGTTCAGTCTCCAGAGCAGGATGTATATTTTTTCTACGCTGAATATTCAACCAAAAACCATTTTCCGGTATTAACATGAAATCTTTGCCAAATTTTAATGGGGATGTAGTTTTTACAGAAGGTTTCAGCTCACATCGTGCTAATAAGTGAAACAGCAAGACTTTGACTTCCAGCATGGCAAACCTGTTAGCTATGCACATTCTCGGTCCTAATCCGAATGGCATATAACTCGAAGAATTGTGCATCTTGTTGTTTAAAAATCTTTCAGGATCAAATTTCTTCGGATTATCGTAATACTTTTCATCATGATGGATTGCAAGAACGGGAATCCAAACAAGCATACCTTTCTTCATAATAAAAGGTTTCTCGTCCGGTAATGCGGGTGGTAACTCAAAAGTTTTTTCGCATATCCTGTCTAAAGCCATGAGTGGTGGATATAATCTAAGAGCCTCACTTATCACAGCATCTAAATATTCAAGTCGATTAATAGATTCGTAAGATACTTCTCCATTCGACTTCTGCAAAACGTTGTCGATCTCTTGTTGTAATTTAATCTGAATTTCAGGATTAGCTGCAATTTCGTGAGCTGCAAAGCACATTGCGGTTGAAGTCGTTTCGAAACCACCGAGAAAAAAGATGAATGCTTGTGCAGTCATGTCGTCGATGTCTAGTTCTCTACGACCCTCTTTGCCTCTAATATCCATCATTAATTGTAGCATATCCGGACGTGTAATGTGTTTTGCATCACGAGTCGCAATTGTGGTCTTTATAATGTCTTTGAAGAAATCCGACACGTAATTGTTCATTATTTTTAAATTAAGAAATCGTCCAAGTTTTGGAAACGTTCCAACAAAAAAGAATTTTATACCGCGAATGACCCCTCTAAAGTTACTCGCCTCCTTGCCGTAAATGTAGAATTTGTTCGTTGGATCTTTCATAGAGTTGATCTTAATTCCGAAAGCACATGTGGCGATAACGTCAGTCGTATATTTAGAGCAGATGTCTTTCATATTTATATCGCCTTTATCCACTAATGATGTTGACAGAAATTTCGCAAAATCCACAGCACATTCAGACATCAACGTGAACATCATTTTCATCTTACTAGAAGTAAAAGATGGACTTAGTAGATTTCTCACGTTCCGCCATTTTTCTCCGTGAAGAGAAAACAAATTTTTCTCAAATAAAGGATCGTTAAAGTCAGCAAAACCACGACGATCTGGAAATGCCTCGAAATTTTTGACAAGAACAGTTTTAATGAGTTCCAGATCGCGAAGGAAGAAAACTGGATTTGTAATAAAGTACATTCCAAAATATTTTGCGTTTGGATTGAAATTGTACATCTTCAGTAAGAAATCGAAGAATGATGTTCGACGAAATATAATTGATATCGAGGATCCGAATAATGGAAGAGGCGGTATGTGTATAATTCCATTTCTTTTAAAGAAATTAAAATTTTTGAAAAGATAATGAATGCTTATCACGCCGATGACTATCGATAATAGTATCGACCAATATTCCATGGCACAAATAGATGTTATTATATAATAAATTCTTCCTATAATTTCTTTGTAAACGTTTGATAAAATGTGACGAACTATACATAGAGCACTAACGATACTGTTGGCACGAGTCGTTGCATACTACTGATCGTCACAGCAGTTCCTACCTCGTAATATACTAGTAATCGTTGTGAGGTAAATACTTTCAAACTACACTATGGGTGTGTTTGAAATGACTCTATCAGCACTAGTTTGTCATTCTGTCCTCGTTTTACGTTTAATGGACGATAAAGGTAGAATGACACAAATAGCGTTAGTATGATCGATTTCTCGAACGCACCTTATACAGGATATGTCAGTGTTGATACTTCGCCTGATGCAAATCAATGAATCATCGTTGTACACGCTGTATATTACACATATATAGATATATAAAATTAAATTACCTTTGGAATCCGTAAAAATTGAACGATAAAGTTTTCATAATCATATTGAATGTGCAGTTTAAAGATTAAAGTATATGCCTAAATAAATTTTGTATGTAATGTCTTATTTTACGATTATTTTTGAAAGATATACAATACGGTGTTCGAAAATATGTTTTATGTTTGTGAAAATCGCAAAAATATGTTTGTGGCAAAAATAACTTTTTATCGAACAACGAGCAACGGCAGTTAGAGATTACTCAGAGTCATGTCCTTGACGATATATAGTATATCAAAGCCATCGGCGCTAGCTGGTTCCATCTGAATATTTATCTTGAAATGCTCTTCAAAATAGATAAACCGTAAAATATCATTTACGATAAGATAATAATGAGTTTGTTAAAACATTCAACAATACGGTCGATAACTTTAAATTAAAAATGATTAGAGAGAAATCGTTGTTATATACATATAGCAATAGATGGTGCTATAAAACATCAGAAACACGCGGATTCTTGAAAAAACGTTAATGAATATTTTCGAAGAGAAAAAAAGAATAGAGGTTGTTGAAAAGTTTAGTGATAAGAGCAATGTCAAATTACATAGTTTTCAATAAAAAAAAAATTGGAGAAGAAGAGGTTTGCAAGACAGTGAGCGGCAGATAAATGTCATAAAAAGACAGAGAAAAGAAAAATACACATGTATATATCCATATTTGGTCAACGAATAAATATATTAATAATTAATGCATTATAGTATTAACACATGAATGGCATAGACAATTTGAAAAAAGAATCGTGCTTCGCGAACTAAGCGCTCATTTATTTGTTTTATGATCTCGTCATCGTAATTTTATTCAAGAAGAATGTGAATGGCTGAAGGAAATACGATAATGAATGATAGATTTGCGGAATCAGAGGTGGAGATACAGGTCGACTTTCACTCCACCGGCGCCGGTTGTCGTCGTTTATCTCATCGATAGTAATCTGTGCCTCATGTAACTTCCGGCAAATTCCAAGGTTCGCTGTATTTTAACGTATTTTATGCTCTTTATTGATGAAAATCGTATTCGGTACATATAATAATTTGGTCTGCTTATTTTCTCGATAAAGAACATAAAAGAAAGAGACAAAGAGAGAACGAGAGTTTGCATGTGTACGATTAATTTAATTTTAGACTGTTTAACGTAACATGGAGAAAGAGTTAGATAAAGAGAATTTTATGGCTCTTACATACATACGCACAATGAATAAATTTAGACGAAGGAATTTATAGATTTAACAACATACCTACGCAGTAGTTTTACACACCTAAATTTAGTATTGGCATATACAGATGTACGAATTTATGGATTTAACAATTCATATAATTAAAAGTTCAAGAATAGCAAATTGATGAGTCAGATAATCAATCGATTAGATAGAAATTAAAAGATCTTTACTGATCCTTGTGTCGTTTACATGACTATCATCGTTTGTTCGTCTATTCTTCCGTCTTGGCAATTGAACGAGTGAGAGACGAGGACGAGAACCATTCTGCATTTCGCTTCCTTCTCGTATCTCCTGCTTACTCGAGCGTTAATTTAATTAATGGTTAAGGACCTTTCTACATTCCATTGAGAGTACACAATCGTCACCTGGGAACACTTCTCGTCCCGACGCGCGACGGTTCGTTACTTTTCCGGTACTCGGATTAATGTCGTGCGTATAGCATTGCTAAATCATTGTTGTTGTTAACAGAAATTATGATTGAAACTCAGACTATTTTTATCACTGGTACAATAGTGAATTTTGAATCGTACAATGTATTTCGTGATTATAAAAAAGTTTTATTGAAACAAACGGTATAATTTACTCAAACTCTGTTATTCATCCATAAAAATCTAAAACTATTATAGTATGTATATGGACCTAACAAAGTGAAAATCTATCGTGTGAGCAAACAAAATCGTTACGAAGTTTGATGTACTAGTGAACTAATTTTGTAATCATCACGCAGATAAATTATCGTCATCTGCGTAATTTAAATGCAGAAACTAGCAACGAGAATCTAAATCAGCGGATTGTCGCATTTGTGCTTTCCCTAAACTATTGTTGCGTGTCGATCGCGGTTGATTTTCGGATAGTATAGTTTACTATAAAAAGTAGTTCTCACACATCACTGCGGATCACGAGCAGTGACGCAACTCGCGCGGTTGTTCGACTTTCATTCTTTTCGCACACGTTCGTACAATCGCGATTCCGTTAACAAGGGCCGCAATTAATAACTTCTTACACGGAAGTCGTCGTCGGCTACGCGTCTCTCTTTTCGCTCCATATCGCATTCTCCGTCTTCCGTTACTGTTACACGATGAAACGGTGATCTGCGCCGCAGAATTGGAGCTGCGGAAGTTCTCTCCGCAACGTGCTGGTTCCTCATTCACCTATACATTAATCGACAATAGCAAACACGCATGTTAATAGTGATGAGAGAGCGAAAAGAAACCAGCGAGGGCGTAAACTGTTATAGTCCCGCTATAGTACTTATTGTTAGTTTGGTTTTATCGAACTGCAGATTATTAATTCAGTTTGCAGTACCTAACGATACAACAGAATGAATACAGTATAATAGTATATGTGGAATAAAATAAAGAAAATATTAGATAATAAATTAATCATATATCGACTTGTGTTTTCTAATATATTAATTTTAATTAAGTTTTTAGAATCATTTTGTTTCCCCTACTATTTATATTAATTCTAATTAGGTGCTCAGAACTATTTTATTTCCTAATGTATATCCTCTGAAGTAATCGCATGAACACGCAGTCAAGCGTCTTTCATTACAATTTATACCAATATAAAATATCTTTTGCGTGTCGGCCACAATCTGTTCTGAAGCAAAACAAACCCGTGTTCTTATCCATGCACTACTATTTCCGCCTGGTCTTATTTATCACACATGTATACACAAGTGCGTATCCACTCACATTCATCCCTGAACGTATTACATTTCTTTCCATATACTCGTACGCCTCGTCCCCGAGGCCTGTAATTTGGCAGGCCCAAAGCGACAGATCTATAATCATTTCACGCTCTCCATATCCGGTACAGTTGCGAATACGTATAACGGGATGTCAGGACGTAGACAGTAGTAATAGCCCCCGGAGCAATACACTAATGTCTCATTTCCAAGTCAAATATAAATGTTTATGAGAAAAATACTTTACAGATATTAATTAATACTATTGGGCGAATAATTCAGTTAAATCTTGGAATAAAATGTAATCGCAAGCAATTGTAATTGGAATGAGTAATTGGAATAACTTCACTTGATACGTATATATTCATCAATTATTTGCGAATTAGATTTTAAAGCCTTATGAATATATTTACTCGTGATAAGAGACTTGTAGTGTCTATCTTTTAATTTTAAATTAACTAGTAGTTTTAAACATGGCCGGAGACATTACCGCGTCTCCTGATAAATATATTAGCAACCACAAAAATTCATCAGTTCATGTTGACATTTTACTTGTATTTATTTTTAGAGTTATTAAACACTTAATGTTTTTTTATTTTAATTTATTTTAATTTAAAAATACTTTATCAATATGTTGTATATTCTTCCTGATAAACATTTTGAATAATTTCCAGTTTAAAAGGTTTCCGTCTATTTAAATTGATAATCAGCTGTGTCAACGAGACGGTACTTAATCGTCCGATTATATACCGGAGTGATGTTTTCAAATCGGCCGTGCTCGTAACTCGTAATTTCTTTTGCGTGATTATTCCCACACGGTAATTCGGATTCGGAGGTATGCAACCTGCATCATAAACGCTTCTTGCTACCACTATTCCACCGACATAGAATTAACAACGGTTAATAAGAATCCTCGATTTGCTCCGCCACCATGTCTGCCGTAATTATCATGCACCATGCATAACATTTTGACTCGGCACCTGAGTGAGTTTGGTGATTGGTATGTTAATGATGTGCGCCGGTGGTCCAGCCTCACTTTCTTTCGAATAATCCTTTTGCGTGTACTCATACGAGCTATTCGCGCAGAGAGGGCACGCGTATGCACACGCGCGTGTACGTGAAAAATCGAAGCAGCTCGTAAAATTAAAACTACATCGGACGTTCACCGAGATCGCGAATAAATCACATAGATTTACAGAAAATCCAGGCTCGTGTTACTTTTTCCCAGAAAGTACATTATCTCGTGTTCTCTAACTACTGCTCAATTCTTCCTGGCTATTATTTTAGAATGATCGATGCCGTTGTAATAGATGAAATAAGAAACGCTTTCTTGAATGACTTGACAGTCGAGAGTCGACTAAAAAGAACGCTTTAACGATAAATGTCCTTCTCTCGTTTAAATTATTCTGTGTACTATGTGTATCGCCTACGCATAGCACCTGCTTGCATGTCGTTATTCAAAGTAAAAGCATTATAACGGAACTAGTGATTTATTAATTGTTGCAAAATATGTTTGACGTTTTTTTATGATTTTATATGTTTTGTAAACTGGCACAGCTTATGGAATTAATTATATATCTTGATGTAACATATAGTGCTCCAAATTGAAATTCTGTTAAAGTCTGTGTGTGATTCGTAAATATTTAATATTAATTTTACTAAAAAAAATCAGCAAGATAGTAAAATATCTTTATTTTGATTTTTAAACTATCAAATTTGGGACAAAAAATCAATATTTTTAT